TGGGTTCATCCTGAAATGGCCAGTAGCATTGATTTAATTGATTTTTTTTTTATTCTTTTGTTATGTTTAGTGATCATTGCCATCATCATCTTCATCATTGATAATCCTGATTTTACCTGTACTATTTTAAATCCTGATTGTGTATTTTTGGTTGAATTTAATGGAATTAAACTAACCCTTTTGAATTCTTCGTCTTTTAATGCGAAACTCTTCTGTCTCGTTTTTTTGGGTCCCCTTTGAAAAAATTAAAGAGGTTTTACTCTTTTTAATGATTTCAATTAAGTTTTTTAAGTTAAAATTAATTTCGTGAGTGATTTCATTTAATTTTTTTGAAGTTAAAATTAATCACGCGAGTGATTAGGGAATGAATTCTAATTATTCAGCTTGTACAAGGTCCCAGTCCCTTGATAGCTTCTTAGAAGCTTGTGGTTCTCAAGATTTTGTTTGACTTTGAATTTGACATAAGGGCTTTTGGCATTTGTGTTGTTATAGGAGGGTTAGATGACTGAAGCTTTAAATATAAGCATTTGGTTATTTCAATATTGGAATGTACTTGAACTGTTGATGTTATTTAATGAAGTTGTTAGTAATGTGTTGTTTTTTATGTTCTTTTGAATCAGCTTTTGAGGTTCAAAAAAAGAAAGCACGGTGCTGTTAGTGAATTGGTTTAAGTCGTTTACAATGGAGATCCGTATGGATTTCTTGGACTGGCTTGACCAAGACACGTCGATGAAGATTCTTAGGTGTTTGGAAGATCCGGCTGATCTTGTCCGTGTTAGTTCTGTCTCTCGTTCTTGGCGACATTTTGGTGAGTATTTAGTGTTATTTTGTTTAGACTAAACTCTTTGAAGCATTTTGCATCTTTTTTGGTATCTACAGAAACTCATTGCAAGAATGATTGTGCTCTCAAAGTGATCGTCTAGTTTCTGCCCATGGAAAAAACTAGACGGCATTTGTTGCAATGAATGTTGGCTGGTTCTTGGTCTGTTGAGATTTTTTCCTTGTGTTTTTCTAGTCATTTTAGGTTTTAAACAATAGTTATCTCTTTCATATAGAAATTTATAATTAATTAATTTTCCGGTAGCTGCAATTTAGTTAGATTCTCCCCGAGGTTCATTCATGCAATTGTCCCCAAGTTCTATTTTAAGGGACAGTTTTCAATTATTTCTTAACAAGATTGATCCTAGTTGTTTTAAACCTTGCTATATATAATGAATTCATTGTTTGATAGTTTTTGAAAAGATGTCTTGACTACCTTCTCAACTACAATCTTCATTGAAATTTTAGTGATGGTTGCAGGGTTTGGCTGGTGGAAGTTTCCCTTTAACATTGAATTTTTCTATGTTTATGGAAATGGTTTGATTTGTTTTGGTTTGCTTCACAGTGATTGCAAATGGTCTTTGTAAGCAGCTGTGCTTGAGAATGTTTCCTCACTTTCTTAGAGTTGAATGCGTCATTGAACCCGGTTGTGATATTGAAAAAGCTTCGGAAGTTGGATGTAGCAAATTTGTGGAATGGGAAACTCTGAAGAGGGAGCATAAAGTGTATGCCTTTTTAGTTCAAGGGTGCATGTCATTTCCTTTTGGAAAGTGCATTTTGGATGCAATAAGTGCTTCTAGCACTGATAATTATCCAGAGGAAAGCATTCGTAACACTGTGCATCAAGGAGACCCTATTGAAAGCAGAGCTTCATACTGGTCGAGTAAAGGACAATGTGATGCTGCAGTGCCCGAGAAACTTGTGTATAAACTGGTTGCTGATATCTGTGTTATTACTGAAATCAATATACAACCTTTCAAAGGTTATTCTTCTGATACACTTAAACAAATTCATTTACTCAATTTGTTTTGACCTTCTAGTATTCATTTATTGAGGTATCATATGGTTTTATGATCAGCTTATTTTCAGCGGGGTTCACCTGTATATTCAGCCATGTCTGTGCGGTTTCATATGGGTCATCCCATACACCCAATGGGTGATCCCTTGGGTGAACCATTGGATGACTCTGCTGATGACAAGTTCATATGGACTTACTCTTCACCAGAGTTTCCAATGGCCCAGGTATGTCACAATGTCTTCCTTTATTTTGTCATGATGAAGTTGGTGTGATTTATTTTCTTTTCTTAACTAAAACACTTCCTATATCAATGTAGCCACGGAACTGCTTTACTATTAGCTACAGTTTCTTTATCAATTCAATAAGTGGAGCTTATGTAAAAAGATCATAGTATTGATTGACATTGGCACAGGTGTGGCATTCTATATTCAGACATAGTATATGGATCCTTTTGTGGGAAATTGTGGCAATCTAAGATATGTAGACATGGAGTTGGGATCCAATATGTAGACACAGCAGCATGCATCTGTGTTGGTTACTTATTGCAGGAAACCTTGGAGAGTAAATTAAGCAATGTAATAACCAATTTTTTCACAGACAAATGCAAGTAGCAACCTTTCATTTTGCAATCCCAAAGGATGTTTCCTAAATCCCAAGTAACATGATCATAAACCATATACAGTGATTGATTTTATCTTTTTTTGTAGTCTGTGTGATAAAAGAACAGGAACAGTATTTGGAATTACAAACTCTTTGAGAACACTGAATGGTTAGTCTTCATGTAGCAAGAGAAGATTCTGCATTTTAGAAATTTTTGTAAAGAGAACAATATTTTCTGTTGTCTTTAATGGTTTCTATGATTTCTATCCTAAATATATCCTTTGTCAGCTGCTCTGTGTCTGTGTCTGTATGTGTGCTTGCTTGGGGCATGAGCTCCTATTCACGTGCTTTTGAGTCATTACAACTTTCTTTGAGTGAATTCTCAACAGAATTCCTAATTTGTCAAAGCCTTCTACATGAACAGGAGAGCAGCTTGCAGAACTTCAGGCTTCCAGAACCAGTTGTTTGCATTGGTGGGATTTTGCAGATTGAGCTGCTGGGAAGGGTTCAGAGGCAGGAAATGGATGGCTTGTTCTATATATGGTTTGTTCAACCCGCTCTTCTTTAGTGGTTTTATTTTGGTGTTGATATATATATATATATATAATGCTGCCCCACCCACATAATAGTGAGATTTATGGATGGTTATCATGGTGGATCTCACTTTTATGTGAGTAGGATCACTACTCTAGGAACTCTCTCTCACTCCCCCCCCCCCACACACACACAACCTTGCGTGTGCGAGAGGCTTTTCATGGTGTGCTAATCTCCTTGAATATGTTCAAATAACAGTGTTAATTTCAGTGACCAGGCTTGATTCCCTGCATGTGCATAAAATTTGATGAGGTCAAGTGTTGGCCAAATCTTTGTTGTGGGAATAAAAATAGAAACTGTGTCTTGGTGACTTTGTGAATTGATAAATTTTTCAAAATTTTTGTCAGCCTTTAACATCTGAAAGTTAAAGAAACTATTCCTTGATGCAGAGCTATTGCAATTGTTACCCTGTACCACCAGTTTGCAGTGTGCTGGAATCAGGACTACTGACTATCATGTATGGTTTCTGTTTTTAATGCACTTTCTTGTTGTATTGCAGCGTGGCTCAAGTTCAAGTTAAAGGTAGGCCATTATCACCAGCATTTGGTGTTGAAATGCTTGGACCTTCTGGGAAGTTTATACTGAAAGCCGAGACTTGTAACCCACCAAACTTACCTGATGAGGACTCCTCATATCATGGTGGAAATTTGCATGGGCGTGTTGATTGGGAGCAGATTATGAATGTGTTGAGGGGAGAAGGAGACTTTGAATATGATTGGAATTCAGAGGATGAAGTGGATGACGAGTTAGCATTCTAACCTGTCATCTATGTATAATAATTATAACTTACCTTTGTTTATTTTACCATCCCTTCTGGGCTGAGTAACTAGTTGGTATCCTGATCTATCTAAGCGAGAGTGACTATGCTGGAAACCTTGCCAGTCCTTTCTGCCAAGTTGGTGTATAACCCTTATGCTAAGCATCCCAGGATTTCCGTTTGGTTTTTATTTCTACTCTTCCGCGCGTAAGAGTTGTTATATATGTATATCATTTTGGTTTACACTCAGATTAAGAAATTCGCACGAAGATCTTGTTACGTGCACGTGGTGGTGTAGATTTTTCTTTTCTGTTCTTAGTCACAATGGGAATGTGCCTATATGGAAGACAGGTTTTGCTGTTAAAGTTCCTCTCAATCATGTTCAAATAAATAAATAAACCTCTGTTTGTATGTCCATTAAGCACATACAACCCCTGCTAGTGAGCTTGTGTCCACCTCTGCTCTACGCCGCTAGCCTGGTTTAAGAGGGAAAGTCATGGTGGCTGATTTAAGGAGGAATCAATCTGCATGCCACCCTCTGACGTCACTGAGATTGAAGGTTGCCGAAATGTTAAAGAGCCTATCAAAATCTCTATTTTTTTTTACCTGTTGTCTGTACATTGTTAGGGCTGTACTTGAATGTGATATTATAGACATGTTCCCCCCAAAAAAGGGTTAAAATGACCGAAAAAAATAAATCTGTTTTGAGTGATTCCGGGATGACAGCCCCCGATCGTAATGTCATGGATGGCTCAATTAAAAACTAAAATGGCCGACCTCTTTTAAGAAAGAGGCAAATTTTGATAGCTTAGCGGGCCTGTGGTTTTTTTCCGGCAACAATTTCAATGCTTGCTAAACTTCGAACGCAAATAAATAAATAAAAAAAAAACCCTCTTTACGTGACAAAAAAAAAATGGAGGATTTATAATAGCATCCTAACTGATGGAGAAGGGGACAATCTAACAAAGATAACGAGAAACAAATACCTCATCAACAAAACCAAACACCCAAGCACGCAGAAACAAACATAAAATGTATACCACCGAGCTTAGATGATGATGTTTGGCCAGGTAGGTTGACTTGAACATAATCATTTATACGAGAATTATGAACGCATGTGGAAAAGCCAAAAAAATGCCACCCTACTTCAGGCATATGTGCAAATCTGTGACCCGAATTTAGTTTAGTGTAGAGCCCTCCCCAAGACAAACATTAGGAGGTCAGCTGCTATGATTGTAGAGTAAAACATGGACCAGAGATTACATTTGCTGAATTATCATTACTACTGCAAGATAGATTGTAATGGATTGTGAATTGTGACTAACGAGGGTGCTGAATAATAGAGAACTAAATAGGTAAATAACCTTCCAGGTCACCCACAAGATGGCAAGAAGCTAAAAAGCTTTACACCAACACGGGTTTATCACAAAGTTCAAATAATTATTGAGATGACATTTTTTGACTTCTTGAGCAGAACAGGCTCGTGTCTTCAATTTGTCTTTGGCTTTTGTGGTGATGGAAGCAACTGCATGGCAGAAAGAATATCCATCAGTAAAGAGCGCGCGCATCACCTCCCAAAACTTCAGGGAACTTCAATTTTAAAAAACAAAATCCAAATAAAGCAAGCTCAACCCAGCAGTGCTTCATGCAATGCATGCACATTCATGGTAAAACTGTCCCTATCACTCAGACACACAAATACTCAGATGAGCGCACTCACACATCACAGCACCCTTCTCCCTCATTTGGTTAGAAATGGTTTGATTGGCAATATCACCGCCCCTCATCATACTTCAGGGCAAGATGTTGTTTTAAAGAAAATATTTGATGTGTGCTATCAAAACAGTTTACTATGTTGAAATGATGACCAAAAAAATAATTAACTTAAAAAATGCCAATTAAATATAGTTTATGAAAAGCAAAACAGTTTTTTTTTGGTTGTTCAGTAATAGCAAAGTGTACTCTCTAAAAACTAAAAGCATCAAATTTACACTGACACTATTTGGAGATGCTATGGGAGGAAGCAAAGGTGGTGAAGAGCCGAAATTGAATCTTGGATTGGGCAGGAGATATGCTTTAGTGGGCAATCCATAGCCAATCTCAAAAAAGTAAAGTAATATACTGATGATTTCCCGGTTACCAATAAAACAGTGCATGAGAAGAATGGATACCTGGTAGCAAGAGATTAGAGAGGTAACAACTCCAAAAGCTCCTGTAACACGAGGAGTGACTTTCTTGGGTGCCAATTGAAGCAGCCCAACAGCAACTACAATGTCCATGGCTGATTTGACAAGGGCTAGAGACCTTTCATTTGATTTTTTAAGTTTGGCACGATATTGCTCATCCTGTGCTTAAAAAGGACCACCAATAAGAATGCCTTATTACATGAAAGCATTTAAACAATCAGCCTGATACGACAATGATGTACATACATGATGTTTTTCACCATCCTTAAGCTCCTTCTCTAACTTCTTCATTGACGCAGAAAGCCTCCCAAGCTCCCCAACCTGATGTGGACATGGTGGAAGATGTCATAGAAATCATCTTCAGCTTGCAAAAAGATGCTCATTCCCTCAATTTCTAAGAGAAAGGAAGTGAAAAGCTACAAACCTCAACCAAAGTAGTACAAATTGAGGATCCCATCCAACAGAAAAGGGATATTCGGCCAATTAGGTCAACAAGTTCTTTGTTCTGTAAATATCAAGACTTCTCAGGTTTCTAACTAATGCTTCTCATATAATTTCATTCTGAAACATTAAAAGATTAAAATAGAGTGAAGCATTTCATACCTTGTAAATGCCACTTCTTCCAAGCCAAACAATTTGATCAAGAAACAAGAAAGTTGACAACAACGCATTTTTGGACTGAAATAAGCATCCAATTGTTAAAGTCACCACCATGAAGACAGTGATACTGTAACAAAAACATTTTATTAACAAATCATTCTTACCTTTCCCAATAAAACAAGAGGCAAGGGGGTCCCTTGAGAAACTGGACTAATAAGACCATGCAGGTCATTGACAAACTGCAATTGGACAAGATCAAGAAGCATGTGGTAAAATTTGCCAAATCATAAATACAAGAAGAATAGCTTTCATTCCTCTTCATAGAATGACCACATGAAACACTGCCAAATGTAGGTCCTTCAGCATTTTCATTCATTCCACTAGTTCTTTCTAGGAACAAAATGGACACCCAATTTAAAGTACCTTTTCGGCTTCCATTTACTGAACAATTATACATGTTTTTGGTTACAGAAAGAAAGACAGGAAAAAGTTCTATATTTCCTAGATTTGAAGGGATACAAACAAAGCCAGATGTAATTCCACTTAATCGTATTTAATGTTATATCATATAACTCTACCTTAAAAAGACGAAAAACTTTCCGAGCTAAGCTGGTTGATTTGTCAACATTTTGGGCGGTACCAGGCTGTCCATCGCTCAAGAATTTTGAACCATATTGAATTGCCCGACAAATCTTGTCCCTGGCTTCAGCCTTATTCAGATACAGAACTATAAGAGCAAGTTCTGCTCTAGTTGCATCGAGTGTACTCATCTTTTATCTTGATCAAACCTGCAAGATCAATTAATGACCTATCCTTGGAACTCAAGAAGTAATAGAGTTTAACATAATTAAACATGGACAAAGCAAACATTCCATCGTGAAAAAAATGAAGAGATGCAAAAACAAAACTCAGAAAAATCATCTCTATGGAAAGAGATTCTCGGGGTCCTTTCTTAGACTGTGCCAATGGCTGTTTATTACAAAAAAAATGTCCTCTAAACAATCTTTTAACAAATTCAACAAAGTAAAGCTATAATAAATTGTCTAAATCCAATAAACATAAGATAAAAATCATTGCAGTTATCAGATCAGGACCACTCATTCCTTGACTATAATTTCAAAACGAAATCTTTTAAACCTAATCCGCACAATAGAGAGCAATTGAGGCGTATACTTATAGAACCTCAAAGTTTACTCTCTTTGATATATCATAGACAAGCAACCCATGCAATCTTCTTTAACAGCAAAAAAAAACAATTCCAGTAGATTATCACTAGTTTCTGTCTGAGTTTCTTGATGAATCACCAAACACACATAACTCTTAATGAAACAATTCTCAATTTAAAACTGACCAGCTTCCCAAACTCTTTAGAAATTGAAGATTCTAGGAATCTAGTGAATTCAATGATTGTATGCCTTTGGCCTTCGTAGTATAGAGAAAATTAATAAAAAAGAAAACGGTCAATCAGAATTCAAGCCTGAAATAATGTTACTGACCTGATTAAACAAAAATATTATATCTAGCTGAGCCCATATATATATAAAAGAAAGACAACAACAGTAGAAGCTAAAGAAAGAAACAATATTTGCTTTTGAACCTGAAAATCAGTAATTCACATCAAGAATGCAACAAAAAGAAATCAACTTTAGAAGACCCAAATAAAAGTTAAGACATATAGCAACCTCAAAGTCATCAGCAATAAAGTTGCAATGATTAAAATAACTAATAGAAACAAACATGAACATACTCTAATAAATAAAGACCAAAGCTTGACCTCAGAAAAAGCACAGATCAAGAATCAAACACAGGGGGTTCGCAAATTCACTATTTCTAAGGAGAAAGAGAAGATAGACAGCGAGTGTGCGTGTAATACCGAAGGGAGTGCCCAGATGGATATGGCCTCGAAATTCACAATCTCTCCTTAGCCGCCTCTCTCTCTCTACAAAAGCATTGAGACTTCGTTCTTAAAGAGATAGAATTGGCAAATGCGCAGCCACCAGTGTTTTTTAAGTTTCTATATCAGCTAATGATAGACCATGACAAGGCCATGTTTGGTGCGCTCTCTCCCAGGACTAAAATACAAAATTAATTTGTTGGTCTCCTTTTTTATTCACTTCTTTGTCTGCATGAAATTCGAGCCATCTCTCAAATTGGTTTATCCATCATCTACGGCTCTGATCACATGTACGTGTCATTAAGTGAAGTATTTTGTGTGAAGACCGATGATGATGTGTACAGGTAGGCTGATTTTAGACAGTGCGGTGGCTTTGCACGCAGCCGAATATGGGAATTGCTGGGTAATGATAAGATCAGAGGGGTCTGCGATCTGACTAAAAACAGGGAATTACGGGCTATATCATAATTTTTTATTTATCAGAAAAAATAAAATATTTATCGATTCAAGTGTGTAATTTATTATTCAAGAAAAAATAAAGCAATTAATATATATATTTAAACCATGTATGATTTTATTAAATAACAAAATAATAAATATTATAAGTTGTTTTCTATTAATATTAAAAATATATATATAAATCATGTTGTATTAATAAATCTTATTTTTTTAAAAATATATTTATATAATATAAATATATATTTTAAATTAGTTTAGAATAAATTTTAAATTAAATTTAATAATATTCATCCTTTATCTATACATTCAAATCAAATCCGGATTAATATCTATTAATTTCAGCTCAAATCTTCATCTCTGCTAAAGTCCACGATCCCGCGACGATAAAGTTAGCCTTGAATTTTTATTTTGCCCTTTAGCAATAAGGTGAGCCCAAGAAGTTCCAAACTTTGTGGCCAATACATAAGCCCACTGAATCTTAGTTGGGCTGCTTTATATAATTTTGGCGACAATGGTCGGTAGGGAGCTACCATATTTATATATTAAAGAAATTAAATATTTATATTCGGAGAACTACATTTTTCACATGTAATTATTTTTCTTACCGGCTTGCAAATTAAACTAGAGGTAGAGTAAGGACGATATTGTTTGCGAATGTGTTCTGTGCAGTGTTTTATAAAGATTTAAATTTATTTTTATATATTATTTTAATATACTAGTGTTAAAAAAATTTAAAAATAAAAAAATATTATTTTATATATTTTAAAAAAAAATTACCGCCGTACTTTCACGCAATCCCGAATGCATCCTATGTTAGCTGCTGCCCTTTCATTTTAAACTATGGATGGTGATGAGTAAAAAAGGTACCACGGTGGTGGGGCCAAGACATCAGTGCTTTAATCTACTCTTGAAGTCTACAACCGACAACAGATCCTGGTATGGTCGTATTTATATCTTCAATTTTACAGGTGCACAGCTAACATTAATGAAGTACGGGGATATTTTCCGAAAGGTGGGATCTGTGGCTGCATTTATCTTCTGGGATTAGGTTGTGAATACAAATTTAAATCACAAAAAAACAAAAAGGAAGGCGTTGCCTTTTTGCTTCATGGACGATTGAATCCATTGAGGTTTCTTTCTGGCGCAACTGGGCCTTTGACAGCAAATTTGAAGCATCAATGAGTGGTTCTGCTCATTAGTCTTTACAGCACTGTACATTGAGCACAATAGTTGGGGCACCATCATTTCACAACTATTGAGGACGACAATGCAACATGTTTTCTTTGTGGGAAATCTTTGAGACCCCCAGTTGTGGATGGCAGCCCAAGAGAATTTTCAACAAAGAACCCTGAAGCTGATCAGCTGCGTTGCCTTGCGGAGGCTTAAATCACCGGTTGGGACATCTTCCATTCCATCCACGACTAAAATATGACAGTTACGATGCCATGAAGATCTCTGATCTACACAAACATAAAGAGAAGCGAGTAACAGAAAGAAATGGGGCCGGAAATATGATGGCTGCAGCGCTGTCAACCAGCGAAATATGGAAGCTAGAAGAAGAATAAAAGAAGCATAACTGCATAAGAGGTTTCTTACGTATTTTTATAAATAGAACATCGATCGCATAGATTAGCACACTTTTGAGTGCTCCCAGCTTGTCATTGACTACTTTGTTTCGTACAGAGAATTAAACGGTGAATACATGAAGGAAAAGGGAAGAGAATTTGTCATACAAAAGTAGATTTTCGTCTCTCTATTTCTTACCGAACAAACTTAATTTCCTTCTTTCTAATCGCTCGAGTAGCTTTTTAGCGCCAGGGATGTCCATCTCAGTAAGCTTCTTGAGATACCCAATCGCTCCATATGAAATCATCAACCGCTTACGTTTCTTACTCGAAGCGAGTGATGCAAGGGACGCTACAGCATATTTCTTTGCAGTGTTCTGTGGACTTGGATCAAGCAATTGCACTAGATTTGGCACACTTTTATCATCCCTTTTAACTTCTCTTCGGTTCTGGGAAAGGGATACCAAACTCGAAATTGCTTGCGCAGAAACCTCTCTAACACTGTTTGATTTAGCCTCGAGCAATTTTATAAGAAGAGGGATGCACCCAGCTTCACCTACCAATTTTTTCATATCTGCTGATGTGCAAACCCTGCAAATTGCAGATGCAGCAGCCTGTTGGGCACCCAGTGATCCAGACCTGAGCACATGAACCAAACGGGGTAGAAAACAATAAGACACCAGCATTTCCTTAGAAACTGAGCTAACCAAATTCCTTAATGCCCCAACTGCAGATTCTTGGGGTAGTGGACCATCAAGATATACCAATAGACTTCGAATTCCGCCTTCTGAAATAACAGCTCTTTTCAGATTGTCATTGCTGGCAGTGAGATTCTGCAAGCATTCTGCTGCATATTCTTTTGATCCCAATAAAATCCCGCAATCTAGGAGATTGATCATTACCTTCACGATCCCTTCTTCAGCTAGATCTTGTCGAACCTCAGGGACAGTTGAGATATTCTTCAACGTGCAAGCAGCTGCTGCCTGTGAAACAGAATCACCAGTTCGACAGATCTCAATCAGTGGTCGAACACCACCATGCCCAACAATTGCCCTGGCTGTTTCTGTTGACATTGACAATCTCTGGAGAGAAATTGTAGCCTTCTCTTTGCCCACAGTGCTGCCTGACTCAACAAGCCTTATGAGAGGTGGCAGAACACCCTCTGAAACAAGCCAATTCTCACAGCTTCCAGATTCTGCAAGTGAGCAGATTGCAGTGACAGTCTTTTCTCGAATGCAAGGAGAAGTTGCTGTTAACAACTGGACTAAAGCAGCAATGTTGCACCGCCCCATAACAGCCAAAACAGTCTTTTCATCCTCCTTCATGACCTCAACAAGTGTGTCGAGAGCTCTATGCTTCGCCTCCAAGTGCCCAATCTGAAGCCGGGCGAGCAATTCCCTTGTATTGCTGCGAATAGCAGCCTCAGGTTGTGTTGATGAGCCAGCCACAGCTGCTGAAGGCATAGTAGCCTCCCCAAGCACCCCAGTCTTGATCAGAAGTCCACAATCTCGTAAATTCAAATCCAGTTTACCAGATAAAGCATCAAGATCACTCTGCGTCCTAAGCTTACCACAGTAATTCTCACCCATACATAAGATTGCCAATTCAATTGCTTCTTTGAGTGTTTTTGACACAGCCTGCAATTGCTCCTTGCAAAGAGAGTTCTTGGAGAAGCAAGGGTGGCTTGACAAGTCCGATAAACGCGATGGGATCTGCTCCAACTTGGAAATTATCATCTTCCATCTACCAGGAAAGCCCTTAACCTCCCTGGCCTTGTCAACGGCTACAGGAACAAGCTCTTGTGCATGACATAACCAGTCTTCAACTGACTGAATATCAACCACAACTTCTTTCCCTCTATCTTCCACCATGATTTCTAATGTGTACGGATCAAATTGGCCTCCAGAGCTGCAATAACTGAATTACAAAGAGAACCAGACCTTAAAGTGACGACCCAGGCATTAAAAAACGAGGAAGGAAATGATATTTGCTTAGAAAATTCAACGGTAGTGGAGCAGTTAAAGTCATCATACATAAATTATAAACTAATGTTACTAGTTCTTTAAAATAAACCACAAATAAAAAACAAATACGTAAACATCAAGGGCTTCGAGAATCTTGCGTGATCACACAAAGCTTGTTTAACTGAAAACAAGACTTGACCAACCAAATCAAAGTACCCTTTAAGATGCTCCCACAAATCATTTCCATGGCTTTTTAAGTGATCATTAAATGCCAACTAAAATTAAACCTAAAAGAATGCATGTCCAGCAAAACACAAAACTGTTGTAATTTAATATGGATCGACTCGTGAAATTGAAAGAACTTTCTTCTTTAAAGACTAAAATATATTGCCGTCCTAGTAAGACATAACACCGTGCAAATACCAAAACACCCTTTTGAATACAATCTTGAGCTGTCAAAAATTTTGATTTGTTTTTTTTTCTTAAATTATTTTTTTTATGTTTTTTAATTTTAAAAAATAAAAAACATATTATTTTATATATTTTTAAATTTAAAAAACATTTTAAAATATAACCGGTAATATATTACCAAACACTTCCTCCCACGCCGTGCTGAAGGGTACAATGGGAAGTGAAAGGAGAAATTTCTGAAACTTTACTTTTCAACCATGAAGAAGGTAGAACATGGGTATCAGATTTATCTTCTAAGCTTTCTTAAGGTGATCTTGATTGATATCCAATGGTCAAGATTTCATTTTTGGATAAAAAGCTGAATTCTAGGCTGTGTATTGCCATTTTTATCCCCATAAATAGAGAGCTAGCTGGTTCAGAGAGAGAGAGAGAGAGAGAGAGAGACTTTTCTTTGAAGAGAAGTTACAAGTCTCTATCTACATTTGTAATATACATCTGGTGTATTTAAATTCTTCAAGATTGATTCAATGGACCAGCCCCACTACAAGTTCATTTTTATTTAGAAAAAAAAATCAAATCAATAAATGCAAAATATATATACGGTATACCTCAATTAGATTTGACCTTCCTCGACATTCAAAGACCTCCACAATTCAAAGCCACTCCTGTCTCTACGAGAAGAAAATGATACAGGAAGAGAATGGAACCATGAATTATGTGAACTGACTGATCTTCAAAAACCAGATAAGAGAACCCAATAAGAAGGGGGGAAAAGCTAAAGGGGAAAAAGATCACTTTTTTTTTTCCAGATAGGATCATAAAATGCAAAAGAAATCAACTCCAAGAACCAACCTTTACGCCTCAGGAATCAGAATTTGTCATCTCTCCAGAAAGCAACAACCAGCTGTATAGCTTGATCTTCAACTTCTCTCTCCTTTTCTCTCTCAGTTGAAACCTGAACTGCTTCTAAAGTTCAATAACTCACAACTCTTGTCTTCAAGACTCAAACTTTATCGAAACCAGAGCTGTTTCTCTCTCGATTGAATCCAGAAACTCACTAGGAGGAACAACAACTTTTCCTTCAAGACTCAAACTTCGTGCAAGCTAGAATTAAGTACTGCCTCCAGAATGAACAATTAAAACCAGTTTGATCTTCAAAAGCAAAGGAATCCCTCCCTCACTCACTGAGAATGAGGAATGCCCAGAAGCTGCTTTTGTTTGAAAATTGAGAAACTGACACAAACGGTCGAAATCATTGTAAGAAAATAAAAGAAAAGGGAGAATCTGAGAAACTAGCAGGTCTAGTTTGAATGTACACACTAGCAGACAGAAGAGATCATGACAAATATACTAATAACAATCACATTCAAAAATTAAACTCTCTCTCTCTTTCTCTCTCTAGAACTGTTTCTCTCTCTCTCGGCCACTGGTAAATAATGTGTCAGGCCTCTCTGTGTGCTAAAAAACATTATTTTACTACGGAATGTACTTTCACAGAGAGAAGTTTTGTTGGGGGGTAAAATATAGTTAAGATTCTGTATTTTAAAGAATCATCACATTGATCCCTCTAGTTTTATAATATATAACTTGATCCTTCAGTCAGGTTAGCTTAAAGCCTTAAAGGAGGGACTAATCTTAGGTAATATTCTTTGCAAAACCGCTAGTGAGCACATTTGTATTTTTGTTTTAAATTCTTTTAAAAAACACTAATTTTTTGAATTTTGAATTGATTTTTTTTTACATTTTCATATAAGAAGCTTGAAACCAATTCCATGTCAAGTAAAAAAATTATGGAAACCTGGTCCAACTAGGAAATATATTTATAATCTTCATGAGATATCTGCTTATAATTTTAAGTTTTTCATTTATATTCCCTGCTCTGAGTAAAATTGTTCTCTTTCTTTAAGAGAAAGGTGGATAATGATATATATTTTAGTAATTATTAATGAGTTTTGCGTGAAAATAATAAATTTAGTCCACAAATGAGGTGAGTTTTATATAAGAGTTTGCGGGCATTCAAACATTTCTGTCAACTGGGCTTTAAACAAGTACAGCAGAGTTGTTAGTTTTTCAAACTACTAGATTAGAGTTTACTCTTTGTCTGGATGGAGAGGGTTAATCGTGGAGCATGGTTAATGGATCCTTCGGCTGTGATTGTTTCTCAAAAAGGGCATTTGACTGTAGAGATGTGGGTGAAATTTGAACGTGTTTTTATTTCTGGAAATATTTAAATAGGCCATTGAGGAGGTGGAGTTTTTTGCTAAGAAAAAAATTATCACATTTAAAAATTAAAAAAATAGTACATTTTGGTGGAAATCACTGATAATAATTGTGATTTTTTAAAAAATCACCGTGAACAGTGGTTAGTAGTGATGCTTTAAAAGGTTTCAAAAATTAATATATATATATATATAAAGAAAAAGAGAATGAATGAGAATCTAAAGGCACATATCTAAGTTTTGATAACAACATTATTTGAATTGAATAACATCAATAAATATTATTAATATTTTTTTTTAAATAATGAAAACACCTAATATTGAACAAGCATATGCACCATTTAAAGATAAATAAATCTTTAACTGTTAACAATATTATTATTAATTTTTAAAGATCATTAAATTTATTTTATCATAGTATTTCTGATAGTATTGTTATCAAAACTTTAGTACACCTGAAGAATCTCATTCATTCTTTTTTTTTTTTTAGGGTCAAGTAGATAAATGTCACACACTATTTTATTTTAAGCTCAAGTTGATAGCATATTGTTTGCTTTAACCTTTTTTTATTTTATTAAATAGATAATATATTATTTATCTGGACATACAATATATCATTTATTATAATAATTATTAATCATCTTTGATGATTAAAAAAATAAAATCTAGACATATGAGATCGTACAACCTAAATTGCAACTTATTTTTACTTGAAATACACAAAAAAACATTATAGGAATCTTAATAACTTAATTTTTAACCCCTGAACACCTTGTAATTAGTCTCAATACTTAAAATCAATCAAACTAAAGTGAAAACAATTTGGAGATTCTAGTATATATATTTCTTTTAGCATAGTCAAAATCCCAAACAACTTTTATTGAGGTTTTTTTTTTTTCTAGAAAAACCTTTTGATATTAATATAGATCTCTTTCATAGTCAAAATTTGACCTAACAGAATCTTAATCTTTTATCTCTCATTTTGGTAACTTTATCTTTTGCCTCTTACCTAAAAATTTGATGTCTAAAATATAAATACCTAGAATTATAAAGACTGTATATGTTAAGAAATAACAACTATACCAAAGCTTATATTTTTGAGTTCCATTAGTAGTTAAAAAAGTATTATATATAGAAGCACGATCAACTCATAGTGTTTTTGTCTCCAAAATCATACATGTTTTCATATATGTGTAATACTGTTATTATAAAATTCATCTTGACCTATACATATATTTATTTCGAGATATTCAATTATTTATACCATGTTAAATGGGATTCCATCCTTAAAACCACCTCCCTCTTTGAATTCATAAATATTCAAAACTGAAAAGAGAAATGCATCCTAGAATAAGGTTGATTGTACAATTAATTTTTTAATACAAAGAAATTTATAAATATTCAAACTTCGATTTACAAGACATGTTAGTCTAAATGAAAACAAATAAATGAGTTTAAAATATAAAATAATAATAACAGTAAAAAATAAAATAGAAAGATAAAAAATGTTAAGAGATACTCAATTTCTAATAAATTCAAAAAACTCTTGTGAACTCAACCCTAATAAGCATCAAAGAGATAAAAAGACATTTCATTAACCATTGATTTTGTGAGACTTGCAGGTCACAATTTCATTTGATTATAAATAAAAGGAATATATTGTGGGTGGAAATTTTTTTTGTTCAATTCAAGTACATGCATAAGGATATATTTACTTGTTTTGTTTGGTTTATTTTTGTAATTTAAAAGTGTTTTTATAAAAATTTAAAGATTTTTTTAAAATTAAATTTTGAAGTATCTTTACATCATTTAATATATTAATATCAAAAATAAAATTTAAAGAATAAGTACTATTTAAATAAGATGAATGACATTTTCCTTTTATTTTTTAATCCAATAACTTAAACTGTTAGGTGAGTTTTAAGTTATAATTTATATTATTTTCTAATACATCTCTTTAAATGAAAGCTTTTTAAGCTTGAAATTTATACAAATTTATATTACATTGTATTTAATTTTTATCAAATAAATAGTAATGTTGAGATTTAAATTTTGAACTCGTGATTGTTTGGTTATTAGTACTCTAATATCATATAAAAAAAACTATTTCAATCCATTAATTTAAATTATTAAATAAAATTTTAAAATATAATTTATATTATTATATAAAAACGAGTACCAAAACCATATTCATGAGAGCTACATTCAAATTTCCTGCTGGGAGTGTTTCTTGTGTTTGTACTATCATGGTAGCTTAAATTTATGTATTTAAATAATTTCATTACCGCACACCACACTCACCAGGTTATCATAGGATTGGATTGATAACTGAGTCCTAATTAAATCATAAAATAAATACAACTGCACTCTTTATATATATATATATATATATATAGCACCGAGAAGCAAGCCTTGCAGATCTTCTTCTTTCATTCCACACGCGAACAACTTTCTGCAAAATCTCAAAAAGAGATTGGCATCTTAAAACATCAAGACCTTTACTGAAAAAAAAATAAAAAAAATCTGATATATTAAGGGCAAACATGAAAGTGTAAAGGGTCGGAATCAGAGACTTGACGAATCCGATTCACAATTTTCTTGCCGGGAGAAGAAGGCATGTTTCTGGGATTTATCTCTGAAGTAACAAAGGCAAAGAAACATCACGACATGGGTGTTTGATCCCACGTTTCAACAGTAGTTTTTTAAAATCTTATTTTTTAAAGAATTAAATTCTTTAATATTTTTGTATCGTTCTAATATTGAAAATAAATATTAAAAAATAAAATATTATTTTAAAAACTACTGCAACGATTGTTTGTGCTATTTGTCCAACTTTATTATACCCAGACACGCACCGTGCACTGACAAAGCAACATATATAATAAGCTCAATGATGAATTGATGTTCAAATCTCCTGTCTCAAAAGGGTTGTCAACGAGAAAAGAGGTGTACCGCTGAGTATAATTGTGTTTGGAATGAAATTGTGTTTTTTATTTTAAATATTTTTATGTATTGATATAAAAAATAATTCTTTAAAAACTAAAAAATATTATTTTAATATATTTTTAAATAAAAAATTCTTTTAAAAACAACTACAATCACAATCCCAATATCTTCTAAAAAGTATTATAATGACCTATAGTTACCTCAATAATTAAAAGGCATATATTCCTGCCAATATGCTTTGTCGAGTGAAATAAATCTTCCCGTCTCAGTGGCATGCATGGTAAAGTAGTGATGCCACTGATACTACTTTCCTAGTGAAGTAACATCCAAATCACAGCTACTTTATAACATCTAGCCCGAATATTATTAGTTCCCTAGAGGAGCCATAATCTTAATACATATGCATACATATACATACATACATACATATGTATGTATGTATAAGAAATGGGCAGTAGAGGAAGTCAAAGGACTGTAAAAGGAACAGTGACCATTCACAACCGGCAGCAGGAGAACCGAGAGCAAGCTAGCTTTATGTTTTTGTGGAGGGGCAAGAGCGAGTGTACCAAGACGCGTGGATGCATAACTGGAACGTAACGCTGTGCATGTCGGCTTTATGCAACATTTTGGCTTTTTATATGCCCACCTGCACACCATACTGCTCGCTGCTGCTTTTCATAAAATCCCTTCTCTTGTCTTGTTATTAATCTGCAAATCTCCCCGTTTACATAATTATATCCTTTTACAAAGGTTTAAGAGGGATGGATTTTTAAATTTTGGTTGCCCAAAGGAAAATATCCTTCAAAACCATAATTTTGCTCGGTTACTTTTAGAATAACGTTTGAAAACTACGTTTTTTAAAAAATTATTTTTTTATAAAAATAAATATTTTTAATGTATTTTAATTTTACACGGTTACTTTTAGAATAATATTTAAAAACCATGTTTTTTAAAAAATTATTTTTTAATATATTTTAAATAATTTTGATATGCTGATGTAAAAAATATTTTTTAAAAAATAAAAAAAATATTATTTTAATACATTTTAGTATAAAAAATACTATAAAAAACAAACAGTAGATGATTCTAATTTTCACATATATTAAAATTATTTAAAAAACATTAAAAAAATATAATTTAAAATAACTAATGTTTTGACCTCAATATTAAAAACGCTACTTATGTGAGGTCAAGGAGTTGTTAGCATTAACAACAACTAATCATTACATAACCACTTCAATTATCATAACCCCTGTCTTTATATATA